GAGGGCGGGCGCTGCCAGCCCGCACGGCTGTGTATTTACGTTGCTATAGCGACCCCGGCCGGGCCCAGGACGCCGGAGCACGCGCTGCAGGCTGCGACCCGCTGCGACCCCGGCAGGGGTCCCCCGATCCAGGCTCCGCCCGGCAGGTGGGCGCAGGTGGGCGCAGGTGGGCGCAGGTGGGAGGGAGCAGGTGCGACCTGGCAGGGTCTCGGAACCGTCCCCTAGCCCTCCAGGCCACTCTGATTGGTCATCCTGGTTAGCAAATGTGTGGCCATCACCCCCTGCGGGAGGACAGTTTCTCCCTGATGCCATCACAAACCCAGCTGCTCTACTGGTTTCCCTGGGTTCCCAGGTAATTGTGCCATCAGAGCCCGCCCCCTCCCCTCGGGGGGCCCCTGGAGAAGCCGGGAGGAGACAGCCGAGGGTCAGTCCAACACAAAAGGATCCCCTCCGAGGGCAGCTCCTTTGCCCCAGGGACTCAGAACACACATGATCCATCCCACTTGAGCTCAGACAGTGCCTCCCAGGGAACCCCCAGAACCCTGGCATAGAGCTGGGCACACGGATGTGCCCCTGATGTCCCTGACCTTTTGCCAGCACCCTCTGGCCCCTCAGGAGCAGCCAACATGCCTATCTCCAAGTGCCCACAGAAGTCGGAGCCCCTGTGGAAGGCATGGGACCGAAAGGCCCAGAAGAACGGACAGAGACACCAGGTGTATGCTGTCAATGGTGACCGCTACGTGGGCGAGTGGAGAGACAACTTGAAACACGGTGAGTGGGGGACGCCAGTGTGGGCTCTGGGCCCAGGGAACAGCGTACAGAGGTCACTGGGGACATAAGGTGTGTCCCTGAGGCTCCTCCGAGGGGTGAATGCTGACCTGGACCAGCCAGGGGCTCTGGAAAGGAACCGCCCAGACTTCAGCTGAGAGAAAGTCTCAGGGCCCAGCAGGGCCCAAAGCAGCCTTGTGACACCAGCCCCAGTCACAGCTGGGGCTCAGGGGACACCGGCTCTGTCCCTACCCCGCTGAGACCCGGGCTAAGCATGGGGCTGGCTAGCAGGAGGAAAAGGCAGCCCTGAGAAACCAGCTTGCAGTTGGGATTCTGGTCTTCAAACTCAGCCCTGACCTGGGTTCAGACCAACAGGCGCTGAAGGAGGAGCCCCCCACCGCCCACCCCCATCGAGCAGCTGGGGCTCAGACCTCAGCTGGATTGGGCTCTGGGTGTAACCAGCGGGGGCACAGGGGGCTCTGTGATACAAATGAAGGCTGGAAGGAAAAAAAGTTTTCATTTTTAAAAGGTGGCATGACTTTTCACTCCAGTCTCGAAATTCCAGATTCTTTTTTTAAAATATGTTTTTATTGATTTGAGAGAGAGGGGTAGAGAGAGAGAAACACGGATGAGGGAGAGACATCCATGGGCTGCCTCCTGCAGGCCCCCTGCTGGGGATCGAGCCTGAAACCTGGCCATGTGCCCTGAAAGGGAATTAAACCTGGGACTTCTTGGTTCATCGGTTAACGCTCAACCACTGAGCCACACCTGTCAGGGCCCTTCTTTTTTTTTACATTGGTGGGTACAGGATAGTCAACATTTCACAGATACAGTTTACGGAGGTATTCGGGTAAAAGATAATAATGAAGACTGTTGGAGTTGCCTTGCCTCGTACCAGGGACTGGAGAAGAGATCATTTAGACATTTTAAGTTGTTTTTCTAGATGCACAAAAACAATGGACAGGGCTTGTTCAAGGCAGAGATTCATCTGTCATGCAGGCCTTAAGACATGACTTCCCACCGTAACTTACTCAGTTATGATTTTTTCAAATGATGAAAACATCCCTTGAGGTTACTTTTAGCTATCAAGCTTTCCAGGCTTGCCAAGGCAGCCCCTTTTTGTTCACAAACCCCTGGCCACCTGGCATATCCATTCCTTATTATTAAAGAGATGAAACTGAAACGCCGGAGGGGCCAGTTTCTCCTGGGGGTTCGCTGTATCAGTCTGGCTTCAAGGCAAAGGGCTAGAGAACCACTTTTTGTCGAAATGGAACTTCCTTGGGGGTTTCCTGGGTGCTGGGGGCCTAGAGACGAGGCACAGAGCCTGTCCCAATCTTCCAGAATCACTGAGTCTAGGGACCCCTGAGGCCCGGGCAGGCCCAGCGACTGCCCCCCAGCTCTAGGGTGGCCATGTCTGCAGTGTTGGCCCATCTGTATGTCATCAGGAAAAGGAACACAGCTCTGGAAGAAGAAAGGGGCCATCTATGAGGGGGACTGGAAGTTTGGGAAGCGAGATGGCTATGGCACTCTCAGCCTTCCTGACCAAGAGACTGGAAAGTACAGGAGAGTATATTCGGGCTGGTGGAAAGGCAATAAGAAATCGGTGAGTGGTTCCCATCATGCCCTGGGGCGTGTGTGCATGCGTGTGTGTGCATGTGCGTGTGGGTGTGTGTGGGGGGGGAGTCAAAGAGGCCTGGGAGAAAGTGGGCATGGGTAGGGGTGTGGGTTTGACGGGAGAACAGGGGTACTGTGCGGGTAGGAGGAGGAAGGGGTGGGGGAATCGTTAAGGCTTCTCAGAACAAAACCCAGGAAACAGGAAGCCCGAGGAGAGGGCCCAGGGAGGAGCCGTTGAAACCCTGTGGCTACAAGAAGCCAGCCAGGCTACGGGCTGGGGGTGGGGGGGAAGTCTCCTCCCCCTTCTCCCCCACTCATTTCCTGGCTTTCTTTTCCCTGGGCAGCCCTTTCTGAGAATCCCCCTTCTGTTGGGCCAGGATAAGAGGAGGGTAGGAAGAGTGGGAGCAAGAAAGCTGAGGCCACACCCTTAGCCATCTGACCAGAGAGGAAGGTCCCAGGTCCCAGGGGTAGAAACCAGCCAGAGGCATGTCCTCGCCCATAAACACTCAAACCCTTACCATAGGCCATGGAAACAGATAAAACTATAGCACTGCTACTGAACAACAACTGTCGCCATCCTGGAACATGATACGGTACTTAGCTAACTCCATCATCATCATCATCATCACCACCATTCTCATTTTACTGATAAAGAAACAAGCTCCGGCGAGAAGTCCCTGACTTGGAGTCACACTGCTGGCAAGCGGCAGATCCCAGGATTTTATGATCTCTGCTCTCAAATTGTTTATTGGCCAATGGGGACAGAGGTCCCAAAAGAAATAATTCACATAGAATACCGAGTTAGGACAGAGGTTTGCACAGGGAGCCCAGAGGAACATCACTGAGCATTCACGGCTGGCTTCCTGTAGGAGGTGGCACCAAAAAAAAAATGCAAAGAGTTAACCGAGGAGAGAAAAAAAGGAGAAGGGGAAGTAGCCAAAGGGAGAGGCAGAAGTAAACAAAGGGAAGGATATGTCAGCAAGGTTTGTGCGCCCACAGGGGCGGGGGCCTTGATGTGTTGGCGGGTTATCAGGGTTTGGAGGGCAGGCTTAGGCTGAGTAACCCAGCCTCCTTAGGTGTGCTCTGCAGGAGTCCACGGTTCTCTGTGGTTGGAGACTAGGTTTGGTGATGATGCTCATTTTTCCGGGGAGAAAGTCCATAGCTTAGAGGCACCTGTGGCTTTTAATAGGGTCCAGTCAGAGTTGGGGCAGATGTAATGAGACGGGCCACGGACAGGTGCTTCTAGCTGCTGCGTGTTGGATGCACGAGGCCCGGGAGAAGGGGACGGTGAGGAGGGGAGAGGTGACAGCGGGCTGCACGCGGGCGGTAGCGGAGGGACAGCGAGGGACGGCGGGCGTTGGAAAGCGTGCAGCTGTGTCTTCCAGCGCACGGTGCAGGGCTGAGGGGCGGCGCAGGTGCGCGGCTTGGGTGCCTGGGAGGCCGCTGGGGGCGCCGTCAACAGGGGGACACCTTCGTGCTTTCAGGGCTATGGGATCCAGTTTTTTGGACCCAAAGAGTATTATGAAGGTGAGTGGTGTGGCAACCAGCGCAGCGGGTGGGGCCGCATGTACTACAGCAGTGGTGACATCTACGAGGGCCAGTGGTGGAACGACAAGCCGGACGGGGAGGGCATGCTGCGCCTGAGTGAGTGCCCCGCCCCG